CCCTAAAAACCCACCCCCCCCAGCCTCCCTCATTCCCCCTAAAAAATTTTTAAAACACCCCTTTAAAAATCGTCTTAATTTGGCATTTTTTTCTTCCCTATTTATACCCGCTTTCCTACTAAGAAACTACATAGTTTGAAGTAAAATCAACAAGGTCATGCAAATTAAGACTGTAGAAAAAGCTCTTTCAACAAATATTGCTGGTCAGATCATATTCAAATGTCGCCACTGTTGATCTCCATTCCCCAAATATGCTGCCATCTCTCTGTTATGGATTATCATTTTGAAGATGACTGGTACATCACAGAGCCCCCAGCCCATTCCAACTTGGTGTTCTCTGATCCCTAGCAAGAGTTCCATGCTAGGTGGGAATTTTGGAAATTGTAATATAACTCATATCAGAAGGAAGCCCTCTATATAACTAAAGCAACTAAAGAATAAATCACTCCTATTCACACCTATTTCTCAAGAATGGGCAAATTTGGAACAAAATGCATGTACAATGTTCTTGTTCTAGATATAAACTACAGTATTGGCGTTTTTATAATTTCCAGAGCAAATTTTTTTTTTAAAGCATAGATAGAACTATTGTTATCAGGGGGCAGAAGTGACCTTATTTCTGCTATAAAGAGGTAATTAAAGTTAATCCTTGACTTACAACTTTTCGTTTGGTAACTCTTCAAAATTATGATGGCGCTGAACATAGGGACTTACAACCCTTGTGCAAAGTTCTAACCATTGCAGCACTGCCAGTCACATAATAAAAACCCAGACTTTAGGCATCACATCCACCCTTATGATTACAGATTCACTGCAACTCCCACCCCAACATTGGAGAAGGAAACAGCTGCAGGGAAAGCGAAAGGTAAGTGGACCTAGGTATGATGGGACAGGAAAAAGGCCCCCACATCTCAGGAATGGCAGGAAGGAGGAGATTATTTATGTGCTGGTGTGCCTAGCTGGCTGACATCTTCTGACCATGGCAGGTTTCTGCCCATTGGTAGGCCTATCCAGCTGAGGCCTCCAGGTATGGTGGTAGAGGGAGGAGGCCGAGGCCTCTCAAGGATGGTAGGGGGAAGAGAGGAAGTCTGTGAGCCTAGCCCAGGGGTGTCAAACTCAATTTCATTGTGGGCCACATCAGCATTGCGGTTGCCCTCGGGGTGTGTGTGGCCAGGGGTGTGTGGCCTACTGGGTGGGCATGGCCAGCTCTACATCGTTCGCGTCAAGGGTGCCTGTGGGGGCCTAGGCAGGAGTGGGACAGATCTGAGGGTCTCTGGCAGAAGGGGGTGGGACCGGGGCAAGCGCCAAGGCATGGTCCATTTCTTCATTCCTCACAAAGGGTGATACCTCCCCAGCATGCACCCAGGGGGCGGGGCCAACCTGGCAGGGGCTGGTTCCTCGCTGTTTCTAGACGGCCTTATGGAGCTAAGACTGAATGCGTTTCAGTATAGATGGCCACCACAAAATTGTACATTGGCTCCCGGCCGGCCTGGGCCAGGGCCAAGGCAGCAGGGGCCGTTCCCTCACTGTTTCCAGGATGGCTTCGCGGGCCACATGAAACCACTTCACGGGCCGTATCCGGCCCCGGGCCTTGTATTTGACATGTCTGGCCTAGCCAATTGCAGCCTTGTGACCCACAGATTTCCATTGGTTGGTGGGTATCAGGCTTTCCAAGGCCTTCACTACCCCTTGAGGCATCTCTGCATGGTCATTTAATACTGCAATAAGAGAGCTGGGATTATGATAATTGAGTGAGGCAGTTATTTGGATGTCTTCCTTTATGACTATAATTTACAGGGGGAAAATCTGAGCTTAATTATGGTCATAAATCAAGGACTGATTTTTTAAAAAAATATAATATATATATATCTTTTGAATCCTGAAATGGTAAACAAGCTTCTGGAGAGATGTCAGAAAAATGAGATAATCTGTGAAACTAAGTATTACCCAATACAGACCAAGTATTGACTGGAAACTATTTTGCAAGGAGAAAAAAGCTTATTTATAAAAAATATATGAAGTTCTTTTTAGTTTTTTATTCTTTCAAAAGTACAAAGATGTGCTTTTCATTTTTAAGTCTTCTATATAGGTAGAAGTACAGTACCTCATCATGATCCTCATCTAGGTATTTGATCTGGATAACATTCAGTTCAAATGAGACTTTCACCTATAATAGAAATTAACTATAGTGAAATGGCTCATCTCCATGATGACTGAGAAATAGGCAGCAATGATTAATCCTTTTTATTGATATCTCAAAATGTTAATGAAGCCAGGAACAATTCTACTCCTCTTTGTCAACTCCAAGCTATATATATTTTGTACTTAAAAGAATCAAGTTTTGTATCCCAGTGAAGACGTCTATAAGCTGTTTAGAATATTTTGCACATATCTATCTTGTCCATTAATCAAAAGGTGACTTTCGCAGCCTTAATTTCACCTCCCTTACCCAATGGACCGGAGTTTTCAACCAAATTTCAGACTTAGTAAAAATAAATCAAGTAAATAATTTCTTCTAACAAACCCACTGCATTCATTAAAAATTTTGGAGGAACTTGAAAATAAAACTAAAATTATTCATATACATGAGTTAGTTTCTTCCAGTAAAAAAATACAGTATACAAAGTTGTGAAAAATTGAGTATACACAAGTACACTAGCAAGTTAAAGATTTCCACAAAAGACAAAGCAACCTTATGTCAATATTGAATTAAACCTCTTGCAGCAAAAACATGCAAGTTCATGCCCATTTTCAAATATTGTCTCCACAGCTACACTAAATTTATATTTAATCTTGATTGGAATAATATTTTCCATCTCTTTTAATGTTAAGTGCTGGTCCAAAAACATCTCAGATCTGCTTTCCACAAGCATACAAAAAGAAACTTGGAGGTTCAAGCAATTATCTTGTTTGATCCTGAACATACAATCCCATCCACTTTCTGTTATGAAGCATGGATTGGTCAATGAACAAGTAACTTGAGCAAGAACTGTTCACTTACAAAGAACATTAAAAAATTAAGTGACCACTATTGGGAGCTCAGATATATTTTTGATTATCATCTGATAGCCTATACCAATTATTAGATTAGTATCTAGATTTGATAGCTAGAATTTTGTTGTTTCTAGTCACTGATCTTGCACTATAGCTCTGCATAAATTGAGGGAGAAGGTTGAAGCTGTAAAAGATGTTAATGTTATACTAGTTTAACCACTGCATAGCTGGAATACTACAGACATGTCAGCAATGCAACAGCCAAATTGCCTTCAATCTTTTCTGCAACTATCGAATTAATAAAGAGTGGGGACTCTAACACAATTGCATTAATAAAATTTGCCCAATTTGCAAATCAAAGGATGGGAAGAAAGTTGGGATCATTTCATGAATGTCCAATACTCTTAACATTTTACAGAGATAATCCTCTCAAATTTTAGTTGGTTTACCACTTCAATTACAATAGGAATTCTAAGCAGCTTATAAAATACATGTTAGAATTAAACAACAAAGATAGAAGCAAATAACAAATAACTAAAGCTTATTAACAATCAAATTGGGAAAATGGATGACCAATTACAAACCATCTGGAATATACGTCCAAAAGTGGGCTCAGAGACCACCCAGTTCTAGGGCCTGCTGAAAAAGCTAGATATTTATAAAAACTTAAATAGTTAAGTGATATGAGGACATCAAAGGGAAATTTTAAAACTTATTGATCAGTGAATCACAATTAGCAAAGACACAACTTACTATGGCTTCCACATCAGCCCATGTGGTTTTAGATGATACAAGAAAGTTCAGGGTGTTACCTTGGAAGGTCACACCGAAATTTACCTGGGGATCCATTCTGCAAATCTTGGAAAGAAAATGAAAACATCAATTAAAAACAATGTAGTTGTTCCAAACTTAACTTCTTTTTGAGAGGAACCAAGCACTCACAATATTTTTATATAGTTCAAAGAACTAAAAAACTGGTTTTAGGACCACCTGAATTTTTCTCTTCCTCTCTCCATCCTTCTGAATATTCCCCTAAACTGTGCCTGCTTGCATAGGAGAAAAATAAGAAAATAACAATGAAATTAAGCTTTCATCATGTCTTCTGACTGCTAGTTAGTGTTCTTGGATAATCTCTGTACTTTAATTAAAGATTAAATCAGGTGCACAGCTCTGTGCTTTGTTAGGACAGGTTCACCTAACCAAATACAGCAAGATTAAAATACCCAGAATCACGGATACCAAGTCAAGGTTAATATGGATTAATCATTATGTTAGCTGTGCCATAATGAAAATATGGAATAGGTAAAAATCCAAATAGGTCCAAAAACATCTTTATGATTCTCAGCACAAGACATTTTTATAGACAAGAAATAATAGGTAAAGATAAAGGCTAACTTATTGTAAGATACTAAAATTTTGTTAAGAGAAATGTAAAATACAGTTTAAAAAACTGATGTCAGTGCTCCTCTTATTTACAATTAGATTTAAAATAGACAAAGTAGTTTATAGTTTTGAACATTCTAAGAGTTTGAAACGACTGTGTAAAAATATGAACATATATATATATTTGCAAAAATTTATAAATCTATTGAAATTTGAAATGGAAGAACAAGTGAAACAATATTTAATAAAGTAGGCTATTTTTTTGGGGTTACAACAAATGGAACAATAAGAAAGTAAGTTGTTAGGATTGAAAAGTATGCTATGTATACTATGTTATATTAAAGAGAAATTGAGTTATCATACCAAGAATACATTTTATAAAAATTGTCTTTAAGATTATATGTCACAAGAAAAATTGTCTACAATATATAAAGGGACTTCAAATTTATATTGGAAATGTGACAATAGGGGTATTTTATCATGTATAGAAACTAAAACAGCCGCAACAAGATTATTTTATGTACAAAAACAGAAAGGTTTGGCATTATCCACAATGGAGGAATGGCTGGTGAAGATAATGGATAATACAAGATTGGGAATACTAGGACTTTGCACATATTTGTGTGTTGTAAATATAATTATAGTTGCAGTTTGTAATGCTTCCCAGCTCATGACCAGCTTTTATTCCAATATGTAATCCAATTGTAACTACAAAACATGTTTCTGTATTTTTTCTTCATTAATCTAACTATAATAATAGTTTACAATGCATTGTATATAAGGCACATATACTCCTTTCTGGTAGTTCCTCAGAATGGCATTGCTCCGAGGAAAATACTTGGAAATGGAAATATCCTTTCCCACCATTTTGAGGTAAAAAAGCAAGTACTCTTTAGGCTTACTTTTATAACTAAACTGTTAGCACTATCAACAGAAAAGCAGCTCTACAAAAGGTATCCTCGGTTATCAAAAAATAATCACTGTCACTGGTCTACATTACTGAAACCACTTCTTTCACACTTTTCTTTCTGCTTTTAAATTCTATCGAGCTTCATAAACACCAGCATGTTATATTACTTATAGAACAATTTTGAAAGAAAAAAAAATTATGGAATATTTGAAAGTTCCATACCTTTGCAGGAACTTAAAAGTGATTGCCTACATAACTTCACAAATATTCTAGACAAGCACCATGGAACAATTACCATCTTGAAAATCCTTCGAACAGGAAATTGCATATCATGGGATCTACCAGAAAATCACCATCTTAACTGGCCTACTTGCTATAGTTACAAGATATCTAGTTAGTAAGTTATCCGAGATTAATCGCAGTATTAATAAAACTATGAAAACACATGGGTTGCTACATTAACGCTGCAATTATGTGCTTGCGTATATGAAGATAAAAGCATCAAAATTGATGTATGTAGTAAGCATACATAGCATTGGTCTCTATATCACACATTTACTGAAATGTGAGATTAAGGGCGTTTCCGTTTGGCTTTGCATTAAAATCGAAATTGCCAATTTGGAGAGCCTTAAGAAAGTTTATTATAACGTGAGAGCCCGAAAAAGTTGCCTGCTGTTGAAGCAAGTACATAAAACCAAAACGGGTCATTCGATCCTCACAGGAACGGGGGAGGAGCCGACTTAGTAACACAGCGTTTTCCGAACACAAAAGCTATGCACTGGCCGCTTCTCCAGGACGAATCTTTGTCGGCCCCTTGCTTACCAAACGCTCAGCAAACCCACATCAGTCGGCGTCGGCCACCGGGCGCCCTCCAGCTGCACTAAACCGCAGCAGCCCATGGACGCGAGGGTGAAGGCGAGGAAGCTATTCTATTACCCCGCACGACTGGAGGACGCCCCTTTAAAGAGGACAGGGAGGCAGCAGGCGTGCGGCTCGAAACTTACTCGACGGCCCATCAGGTCCTGGGTCTCTGACGAGTGGACCTCGGCAAAGACCAAGGTTCCACGCTCACCCACGCTGTGACGCAAGAAGATCGCGGGTTCGCCGGCCAGCTGTCGCAACCTCTGCTGCTTAATGCGACTGGGTGGGGGCGTGCCCTTCACCTCGGCTCTTTTATACTATTGGCTACCCAGGACGAGAGAGGCGGATCCCATGAGAACAACAATAACAAGTGATGAGATTGACACATCTCATTACCAGGAGAAGGGATTTCCGGGTCAAGAGCGTGGCAGAAGCCATTTTTACGCGTCTTCTGTTTTGTAACCAGCCAATAAAAAACCAAACATTTGATTGCAGTAAAAAGATCGCGGCAAATACAAAATTTCAGCTCGTCCAAATTCACATTGGATTTTGTGTGAATGTTTTCCTTATTGAAAAAAAAAAGATCAGCGTCTTTCCGAGATTATGAAGAAAACAGCCTACAATCATTTATCGTATGCCGCCTATCATGTCGAGGGAGATTCTAGGCGGTTTATAGACAAACCCAATTTCTGTGTCAATATTACTGACACAGAACTTTCCCAGTGAATTTTCCCAGTGATTATGCATTACATCATTATTCTAGCAATTATGCAGACAAATCATTATTCTAATAATTGTTCATTTTACTACATTAGTTTAGCAAGATTTTTTTTTAAAGTAACGCTACAACGAGAGCCAGTTTGGTGTTTGCCATTGCCTTCTTTCCAGGACTGAGAAAGTGATTGGCCTGAAGTCACTGGCTTCATGTCTAAGGTGAGACCAGAACTCAGTCTTTCGATTTCTAGCCTGCGATGCCTTAATCATTAGACCAAACTGACCCTCGATCGCTTTTTAGCTAGCCTTAATTACATTTGAATCGGCCACATTGTTCGGGTCGCAGCTGACAGAAATTATTGATGGCATCCTTTCATACTCAAGCAGCGAGGGCTGTAGCGTCATCCTTTCCCCCCGCCTTTCTGGCGTTACCAATTGGAGGCCTCTGTTGCAGTCATGGGATCCGGAAGCTACGAAGCGATTGGTTAGCAGGTGATTGCCACGGGTATTAACGGAGGAAGGCGCGAAAAAAAGCTGAGTGGGAGGCGAAGGGAGTTGACGCTCTTTGGAGGTGCAAGGACCAGGTGATCGTGCAAACTTTAAGCGAAGGAAAGCAGCGTTTAGGTTACTCCGTGAGTAATACACAGCAGTGTAATTTGGCAGTGACACTGCAGATTGTGGCTAGAGTTCAGACGCGCTTTTTTCAAAATTTTGGAGATTTTGAAGTGTTGGCTAAATCAAGAGGCACTGATTAGTATTATCACTATTGGAGTTCAGGGGGAGATGAAACAAGCATCTAGTGTCAAACTCGTGACGTGTCGGCAATGGGGTGGGCGCAGTTACAGACTGCCGAAAAGAAAGATTATCAGCTGACAAAGACATTTTCTCTCTCCCTTATTCCAGTATTTTATTATATGAACTAGACTAGTGTCGGCTAGGGATGTCACGCCTTCCTCCGTTAATACCCGTGGCAACCACCTTTAATTTGAATAAAGTTTAGTAGTTAAAATAGAGCATTTGTTTCCTATCCTAAAAAGAGCATTTACCTATAAAAAGCAATTGTAGGTGGATAGAAAAAGAATGATCGCCATTAGTAATGCCTATTTCTAATTTGATTTCATGAAATTATTTTGGATAGTTAGTGAAATTAGGGATAATGCTGAAAAATACTTGGGCAATAAATCAAGGACATTATTCACTAAACTTTGTTTATCAAAAATATGAGGCATTGTGGGAAAATTGTGTGTGACTCAGCTGAGTCACTTATAAATGAAGGGAAATTCTTATAACAATGTTATGGATTCTGTATTAGTATTACAAAGAAAACTAATTTGATGTAGTGATTGAAATATAGATTAGAAATAAGTGATTGTTAGTCCTAGTCCTGCTTTAAATATGAAAGATGCCTGGGTGACTTTGGGCCGGCCACTCTCAGCCCAACTAATCTCACAGAGTTTTTGTTGAGTTTTTGTTGAGCCCAAATACTTTTCAGCATTATCTCTAATTTCACTAAGTAGATAATTTCACTAACCATCCAAAATATTTGTCACCTTGAGTTATTTATAAAATAATAAAGGAAGAATATTAAAAAAATCTGCTTGGTGTTTTTAGACCACTCACTTTTTCTTGTGGCCTAGAAACTGTGGCATGCCAAGTCTGGCATGCAACTGCTAAGAACTTGACCCCTGAATTTGAGAGAGACACTATCTTTTTTGGCCACCCAGAAATATAAATCACAAGTAATTCAGGCAAAGCAAAAAAATATTAAGAGGGGGTCAATTTCTTTTTATTGATCCAAAATGAATTATACACTCATGTGTCATACATCAGAAAGCAAATGGTTAAACTGTAAAAGAGGTAGATTGCACGTGAGATTTAAATAACAGCAAACATTGATTCTAGATAACTAGATTCCAAAAATGGTAATTTATGGGTTATATACTCTTTCCTAATTGGATTTGTATCTTTCCTAAAACTATATTCCTAGAAGTGTATTCAAGGACTTTCAGAATAAGCTGTCTATTATTTAGTGTTAAAAAGACAAGGTTGTGCAAACCCAAAAAAAATGGCCTTGACTAAGGAGAAAAAGTATGTTTTCCTGAAGTTTACAATAGAGGCCTAGACGATGTTAAAATTGTCAATAGCATATTTTAAAATGATGATAATAAAGCCTAAAATTTCAGGTAACATCCTCAGCCCCAGAAAGCAGACAACAGCAAACCACTTCAATATCTTTGCAAGAAATCTGCAGGTACTAGTTCAGACAGTCGCCAAGTGTCAACACTGATTCAAAGGCATAGACACAAACATAGCACTATAGATATTTATTGAAATCTGGGCAGTTCGTGTTTCTTTGGTCTTCCTAGCTATGTGGGAATTGACAGCTACCTCCATAGATCTTTTGTGGTTTATAGGCAGGGGGGCAGAGGTCAACCTCGAGGCGCCTCACTTGTGGGGTACCACAGGGGTCGGTCCTCTCGCCTCTCCTGTTCAACATTTATATGAAGCCACTGAGTGAGATCATCCGTGGTTTCGGGGTGGAGTTTCATCAGTACGCAGATGACACCCAGCTGTACATCTCCACCCCGGACCACCCCAACGATGCCGCGGAAGTGATGTCCCGGTGCCTGGAGGCCGTGCGAGTCTGGATGGGGAGGAACAGGCTTCGTCTCAACCCGTCCAAGACCGAGTGGCTGTGGTTTCCGGCGTCACGNGTGGCAGCTCCTGCCCTCTGGAATGACCTACCCCCCGACCTACGTACAGTTGCGGACCTGCGCCTTTTTCGCCGAGCCCTGAAGGCCCATCTATTCTGTGCGGCCGGCCTGGCGTAGTTTGATTATGTTTTAGTGGGGGTTTTGTATGGGGTGTTTTTAGAACAGGCCTGTTATTTAATTTGATTTTAGAACAGAAACTATTTATTTATTATTGTGGTTTTTAGTATCGCCTGTTCACCGCCCTGAGTCCCGTAAGGGAGATAGGGCGGTATATAAATTTAATAAATAATAATAATAATATAATAATAATAATAATAATAATAATAATAATAATAATAATAATAATAATAATAATAGAGATTCAAACCTGCTTTTGTAATCTTTCACTGCTTCTTGATTTTTCTAGATATAAAGCATTTTATTTAGTTTGCAAACATAGAGGAATCTAAAACATCCAAAATAATGTGTCCATAATATAGTGCAATTTTAATTGCCTAATTCAGAAGTGTTTTAAATATATTTTTTTCAAATAATTTGTTAAAAGTCAACATAAGCTACAAAAATATAAGAAAAAGACAAAAGACAAAGAAAGAAGTATCTTCCTCTTTTATCCTAGCAGGGAAAAATAATTTTAGTAGCTTATCACCATCTTAAAAGAAATATACAGGTGGTCCTCAACTTAGAATCATTTGTTTGTGACCATTCAAAGCTACAATGGCATTGAAAAAAAGTGACATGTTCATTTTCACATTTACGATCATTTCAGCATCCCCATGGTCACATGATCAAAATTTTGGATGCTTGGCAACTGGCTTGTATTTATGATGGTTCCAGTCTCCTTGCAACTATTACTTTTTGTGTGTGATCACCTTTTGTGATCTTCTGATAAGTAAGGTTAATGGGAAAGCTGGATTCACTTAAAAATTGCTATGCATGTAACAACTGCAGTGATTCAACTGGCAAGAAAGATTGTAAAAAAGGGATAACCTCACTTAACAACTGTCTTTGCAACATAAATTTTGGTTTGGGTTGTGGTTGTAGGTCAAGGACTACCTGTAATCTTTCTTCTAGTTAATCTCTTATGTAAAGAAAATCAATCAATCTTTGCCAGCAAACTTCCAGTAAGGGAAACCAAGTATAGCTATTCTTTTATTTTAACCCTGATCAAACAAGCATCATATAAAACTTCTCTGAGTTTTAAAAAATATTTTTAACCCCTTCAAAAAAGTCCCAGAAATAGTTTGCTGATCTATGTTTCACGGTGAAAATCCTTTGGAACTCTTAATAGATTTCTTTTGTATCACTATGTACAATTTATCTTTTGCTTGTTATTTCTAAAAATTTGTTCCAAATCTTAACAGAGCTCTTTTGAATCTCCAGAAGAAAAAAAGTGTATCCAAATCAGTTTCCTATTCATCTCTTCAAAGGATTAATTAATCCATCAGAACCACTTGTATTATATTGAAATACATCTTCAAATTAATTTCATAGACATCCATTACAGCTCATTCTTGTTTTACAACTTCATTAGAACATGCTGTCAAATTTATTGTTTGCTCTATTTTATCCAAAAGCTTGTCTGAGATGTATTTAGAAGTTTGCAGTAAGGATTTCTGCTCCATTTTCTTTATCCATTCACTCTAATGTCCAGCCTTTAAAGTTTCCTTATCATAAAAAACATAAATATCCATTTTCCCAGAGAATATACTTTCTAAATAATTCAAAATTCTAATTCAACTCCCTATGGCCCCTTAATTTGTTATTGTCTTTCCAGAATCCATATACTAAGCATGCTTTTGCTGCATTAACCAAAAAAATACATTGATAAAACTAATTAAATTTACAGTAATGTCTTTTAAGAAGGTGGAAACTCACAGTAAAACCTTGCTGGTCTGAAGGGTCTTAATCTCTCCAATATATTTTTAAAAAATCCAAGAAAGTGATTAAGAGATAAGTCTGATTAAGCATAGTGTTCATAGAGGCTGCTTTGGAAGGGTAAGTTTGATGTAATCTAAGTCGACCACGGTACCCAGCAGCTGTCCAGAATCACATGGATGATCTCAACAATCTTGTTTGTTCCAGAGAAATTAAGCTGCCTCGATTAGCATCTACCCATGATTCTCCTCATAAAAGTTGTCTTGCCAGTCATCAAAAGCCAACAAGATGTCAGCTTACTTCGTAGGAAGTCTCCAGAAGATGTTTTAAATTTAGTTATAAAAAAAGAATTCTCACACTCTGGCCTTGGGTACCAATTTTATTTTATACCCTTTGACCTAGAGCAGGGCTTTTCAACCTTTTCATCCATTGTACCACTTTTAGGATAAGGCAACATCCGAGTACCGCCACTTGCCCAGCAAGGTGTCTTCTTGAATCTGGCTTTGATCCCGCTTCCCTTCGCTCTGGCCGGGTCCATGAATGCCAGATTCAAGAAGACAGAGGAAGGCTCACATGTCTCCACCCCAACGCCCCCAGCCAGCCTGCTGGCCTTTCGAACCGCCCTGGGGTTAGATCTGGCATTCACGGACCCGGCCGGAGCGAAGGGGAAGCGAGATCAAAGCCCTTCTTTCGGCCGCAAAGAATGTAGCCAGGCGGGATTCGCCTGGGAGTTGTGCCGGCTTTTCCTCAGGGCTGGCTGCAGCAATGAATGAGCCACTTCCCCGCTCACTGCTTTTCTCCAGCTGCGGCCATGCGCAATGCACCAGCAACAACGGCGGTGGCGGCAGCCAAACTCCAATTGCCTACTCCGGGCTCTTTTATGCTCTCCCCGGTCCGGTCTGGTGAAGGTCGGTCAGGACCCCTGCAAGCGAGCGAGATGGGCAGGGGCGCGAATCGGCATGTGCTCAGAAACGCTGATCTCATGCTCCTGCCCATCTTGCTCGCTTGCTTTTCACTTGCTTTCTGCAAACAAGTGAGATGGGCAGGAGCTCCTGGGCCCCCCGCGCCCACCGTTAACCCTCCTGCCACCATGCAGGGTAAAGTTGGCGCCTCTGCCCAGATGCCCTCGCCTCACCAAAGCATTTTTTACTCACCTGCTTTCAGCTGCACTCCCTTTCTCCTTTTGCTTTTCTGCCTTTGCCACATATTTGTGGGTAAAAAAGAAAAAAAGTTCCATGAGACTTTCTAAGTTCTCGCGAGAAGTTAGAAAGTCTCATGGAGCTTTTTTTTTTTGTCTCACAAACACATGAAGGCTGAGAAGGACAGGAGAAAGGGAATGCTGCTGAAAGCAGGTGAGTAAAAAAACGCTTGGGGGAGGTGAGGGCATCTGGGTGGGGGCGTGGGGGACCCAGGCAATGCATCACGCAGCTCGAGCGGAATCTCCACTGAAGACTGCGTGAGTCTGCCAGCTACCCCCAAGGCTGCCGCCAATCAGCTGGAGCTGCGCGCTTTGATCCTGGGCTCTCAGTAGGACCCAGGCAACGTGCAGTTCCAGCTGACTTTGCCACAAGTCTGTGCGGCGCTGCTGTGCTTCACCTCATCCACTTTTGCACTTTTTTAAACATTTTTTTTTACATTTTTTTTACATTTTTTTAACCTGTCCTACGCGTACCAGAAGCCAGGTGCTCGTGTACCACTGGTGGTACACGTACCACCGGTTGAAAAGCCCTGACCTAGAGTACAATATTTTGAGAGACATATTGTACATTCACAGAGGCATTGTTATTTTCATAGTTATATTTTCTTTTCTTTTCTAAGGTCTGTTTCAGTTCCCATGGCTTGTCTATTAGAAAAAGCCAGATGAGTTAGTGCCTTACTTTAAAGTCCTCCAATTCATTGTTTCATTTTATCTTTTATAAATCTTTTAAAATATTCTTCCAAGATTCTCATTTTTACTTTATGGCCATCATACTATTCTTCAGGGCAAGCAGATTGTCCATCTCATAGAACAATATTAATAGTAAGAAAAAGAAAATGCATGTGATAAAAAGAAATCTAGCTAAATATAGTTTACACTACCATATATCTTTCTGTCTTTGCAAGCCATTCTTGCTTCCACCATAACTATTATCTTTTCTTTTTTAATAATTTCATGGACTTTTCCCAACCACTTTTTTCAACTGAGATAGCCATCATAAAATTTGAATTTGAAATTGGCCTTTCTTTTTGCTTATGAATCTGCATTCTAATACTTTTTAAAATTTCCTGTTAGTTGATTAGTGTATATGATTTCTTTGGTCTTTGCCTGGAGATTCTTTTCATCTCTCTTCACCCATCATACTGTCAGGTTTCCCTTTGTTCACATCCCATTCACTCTTATACTCTTATACTCATTCACTCTTATTTGATCTTCATTCATTCTCTCTATATTCCAAATCCCTTGAACATATTTTTATAATGCAATATATTTTTATGCAATTCTCATTCATTACCCATTCATTCTCAACCCACATTATTCCATTTTTTTATTTCAATGTCTTATGTAACCAGTTCTTATCACATTTAATGTATGCTTCTCCCAGCATAAACGTTCATGTCCATATAACAAAGAGGGTAAAAGGATATAACTTTTGCATAAGTCCATTTTTACTTCTTTCAACAAATATTTATTCATTGCAACAGGTACTTATATTCATCAAGTTGTCTTCTTAGTGATTAGGAAAAAAATATCTGGTGGGGTAAGGTGTATCAAAGACAGAAGTATCTCAGGTGCCTCAAGGGAAATGTAGCCAGGCTCTAGCTGAGCAAGGGCATTGTAGTTGAGTATGGAACATAGAGTATGGTTTGAACAAACGTGAATGGCTTCTAAAATAGGAGCATAAATATGGAATTGTGTACCATAACAAGTCTAGGATAGTGCTTTATAGATTTTTACTGCTACATGATGACGGTCATATTGTAAGATTGCATTAGAAACTTTGAATTCTAATAGAAAGTTACTCAGTTGATGAGCAATTAGAAGTGGATGCCTACGTATTTGAAGTTCTTCATTTAATCAATTCGTCTTTTAATTTTTCACACCTGAGATTTGAATATCTAACTTACCTGAAGTAAATGTCATTCTAATATGCTGAATTTAATTTTGAATTTAGATTAGGTTTCTATTTTAGGTACATGGGAAAAATTGCTGTGCCAGTGCCACTGAGTTCCTTTTTATATAAGTATATTTTCATGGCTGCTTACTTTTTTGCAATCCTTTCATCTCCAATGTATGGAAATACAAATATTAATTCCTTTCTTGCTATTTATCCCAGTGTCAGTATGAGTATTCCAAAGAACGGGAATAGTTAAGAGACAAGCAAAAGCCAAAGGAGTGAAATTGATTATTCTTATCAGTCTTGACCTGGCTATCCAGCTGCCAAGATGAACATTTCAAAGATTTGTGGGCAAAACAAAAATAGAGTTGTGGTCATGTGATTTTCCATTTAGCAATTGCTTCACTTAATATCAGAGATACTAGTCCCAATTGTGGTTGCTAAAGGAGAGGTATCTGTACTATATTTCAAAATGCTACACAAAATTCTCATAACACTTTTCTGTTTTCAAGGTGTATAACCAACTATGGATTTGCCTGTTCCAAGTATTCGTGAAGTTCATGAACTGCTGCTAGCTTTGCAGAAGAATTTGGAGTGCCCAATTTGGTATGGAAAAAAAGCAGTTTGAATATCAAGATTTCATTAAAAACATACAATATCTAACAATCCCTGATCTGATATCTCTGGATATCAGATAACAACATAGGAAAGACTGTTTCAGAAATAGAGAGGAAAGTACAAATGATCTCTTCTTTAAATAAAAGATCTCTTCCTGAGCTGCTTTTCTCCCAGTGCAAGGCTTTCCCAAAAGATGGTAATCACAAGTTAATAAGCCAGTTCTATGACCTTAATTAAACTATTTGTAGCTGCTTCTTGTAACTGACAAGAGTTTAATCACTTTTACAATTTCAGCACTTGTTTGCCACTCTTAGTGGCCCAGAACTAGGAATTATGGGGGGCACTAAACAAACAGCTGACACTAGCACATTCTTTTTGATGTGTATTTCTCATTTTGTTCCTGCTTACTCTTTTGTAATACTTTCCTCTCCACTGATTGTAAAGAGAAATGTTAATTCCCTTCTTGCTTATTATCCCAGTGGTGAACACTGAGTGAGCATTACAAAGGGCAGGGTAGTGAGGGAAAAAGGAAAGCTGAAGCAAAATCATAAGGATTGGCACAATCACTGAATTTCCAGTTAGTGACTACATCACTTAGTTGCAGTCCCAATTGTGATCTCTAAACGACTACCTGTATAATACAAATATTTAATATATCCTGTTGATATAAAAAGTTGATGTGAATTATTCCAAGTTTGCAATCACACATGCTAATAAAATATTATTGCAATAATACAAAGTACATTTTACTTTTTACAAAATTACTTAATGCAATTATTTTTGCAATGTAACATCAGTGGTACTTTGAAGCTTCATATTTTGTGTAATTACAAAATAGTAGCCTTTAGATGGAGCTGTGCAGCCATATTTTTGAGCTAGGTTTTTTTATAGAATTTCTTTGAGGGCAAGGCTATTCTGATATGCAGTATGTTCAGTATTCTGTCTCTTTTACTAAATTGTTCTTTTTACTCCCGTTTTATTTTTTTGTTTTTGAAAAGTTTTGGATGTCCTCAACACAGCTTAAAGTAAAATACTAAGTATATAAATGTAATGATTATAAAATGAACACTGTACTAAAACAACTATGATAAATATAGCTAACAGCTCATAAAATATATAAAATCAATCAGTATCAGTTATGGGAAAAAGGGCAATTTTGATTTGGTTGTTAAAGAGACATTAATGAAAAACCTAGGCTTCTATCCTTAGAGGGTATTTAATGACTGAAATGATACAACCATATTGTTATTGATTACCAACCATTTTGAGGCTTTTATTAATTCAGCATAATTAAAAGAAATAATATTTCTACTCTTCTCCAAAGTTACTGATATTCCAATCCAGACAGAATTCAAAATACTGTGAGATACAATAACTGCATATTGGTGTGAAAAACCTGAGAGCAATCTTTGATGGGACCATACAACATTAAAGTTTAGTAATCTAATTAATACAGTAATATCAATAACATATTTATTGATATATGGAAAACATTAATATATTTAATAAGCAAGACCCTTCATTAATTGCTATCTTATAGGGATAAGGAGACTGTCTCATTCATGCTAACTGCTGTATCATTAGAAATATATACAGGTGGTCCTCAACTTACAAGCACAATTAAGCCCCAGATTTTTATTGCTAAGCAAGACAGTTGTTAAGTGAGTTTTGCCTCACTTTACCACTTTCCTTGCCACAGTTAAGAAAATCACTGCAGTTGTTAATAACATGGTTGTTAAGTGAATCTGGTTTCCTCTTTGACTTTGCTTGTAAGAGAGTCGCAAAAGGTGATCACATGACTCCAGGACTCTACAACATGACAAATTCATGCCAGTTGCCAAGCGTCTGAATGTTGATCATGTGACCATGTGGATGCTACAAGGGTCATAAGAGTAAAAAATTGTCGTAAGTCATTTTTTTCAATGCTGTTGTAACTTTGAACTGTCACTAAACAAAAGATTGTAAGTTGAGGAGTACCTGTACTTTCAGAAGGGACATTTATGACAGTAATCATAGACAAACGTTCAGACTATGTACAATTCACTGAAGAAGAAAATGGCAAACCCACTTCAGTATTTGATCAAGAAAATATAACGGACATCCAGAATAATGTCAACAGGGAAGAGACTTCCAGTTCAGTTGGTATGCAAGAAATTACTTCGAAAAAACAGAGAACCAGTTCATATGCAGTGGTATTCATGATGTACCTGGGTTAAAACCAAAAGAATATCCAACTGCTGAAAGTTCAACACTGCAAAGAAATGTATACTGTACCATTAGTACACGGGATGTTAGTATCATGAATTAGAGCAAACTTTGAAGGATGCTTTAATTCAGCCTCTTGCACTGAATTGGGCTTGACCTTAATGGCCTTGAATGATTCTTTCTAGTCCTTTTTCTATACACAATATTAATGTAGGCTGAAATTCACCCTGTTTTTTATATGTGGCAGTGACCAACTGAATACATTCAGGAAGTCACAAAACAGATCTTGGAACAATAGCTGTTTTCTCCTATTATAATGATGATAAAGTTGGAAGGGACCTCGGAGGTCATCTAGTCCAACCTCCTGCTCAGGCAGGAAACCCTATACCATTTCGGACAAATGGCTGTCCAGTTTCTTCTTAAAAACTTCCAGTGTTGGCGCATTCACCGCTTCTGGAGGCAGGTTGTTCCACTGGTTAATTGTTAACTGTCAGGAAGTTTCTCCTTAGTTCTAGGTTGCTTCTCTCCTTGATTAGTTTCCATCCGGTGCTTCTTGTCCTGCCTTCAGGCGCTTTGGAAAATAGCTTCACTCCCTCTTCTTTGTGGCAGCCCCTGAGATATTGGAACACTGCTATCATGTCCCCCCTCGTCCTTCTCTTCGTTAAACTAGACATACCCAATTCCAGCAACCGTTCCTTATATGTTTTAGCCTCCAGTCCCCTAATCATCTTTGTTGCTCTTCTCTGTACTCTTTCTAGAGTCTCAACATCTTTTTTAC